ACAGGAAACAGAGAGATGGGACTAAACAAGGTATAAAAAGCCTAGCAAACCCCTTCCTCAGCCCTTCTCTCTTCTTCTCCACCTACATTGAAACATGTGATCACCTTTTCTGTACAGGGCTCAAGCCATGTGGCTCTGTCCAACAATAAACCATCTTTCCAAGCAGCCTCCATGTCTCCAATGTCTTCTTCCCCACTTGGAGCTGAACCCAGAAGGACATTTCTTTCAACACTTTAAAGCAAAATTCCCTACACATTTATTTGAACAGAAAATTTAAATTGAATAAGTAAATAAATAAATTTTCAGTTCAATTGTTTAAGGAGGATAAGAAGGAAAACCATGTTCCATTTATTAGATTTTACTTGCAATATTTTCTGACATTTTACATTAAGGTTGTCCCTACATTTCATAAACCACCATTATGATTGAAATGTCATCTTCCATACAGGCTGCCTGACAAGAATAGCAGTAACAAGAAGATGTCACGATTTTCAGTGCTCCTGTTCCTTGCTGTCTTAATGCCTAGCACTGGAAGGAAACTAAGATGTCTGAGAGGGGCTGGTCACAAGCCAAGGCCTACCCAAGAGGAACACTTACAGGAATGTACCTTATATGCTAAATGTAAGTGCTGCAAAACTGTGTTAAAAATTAGGCTGCATGTGGCCAAGAGACTGTGTGTTAGTGCCTTTGTTAAGAGGGGGTCTTGAAGGATTACTTTCTACTTTATCGTTTCTTCACGCCACTAATGTGAGCTAAATGTCATGATACAGTTACATGTCTCTGTGTGCGTCTGTGTTATATATACCCACATGCATACACACTAGGGGCCAACTGATTACTTCTGTGATGAAATAATAACAATTTACAGAGACTGTAAAGATTAAAATAAAAAAGTACAGAAAAGAATAAAAATGAATAAGCCAAGAAATTCAAGCAGAAGTAGAAAAATGGCAAAATTTAGACCAAAATCATTTGTGACATCTCTTCTTACTTTGTACCCTTATAAATCCCTGTTCTTCCATACATATCCTTATATCACTTCACAGCAGTGGTGGGTCCCTACCAGTTCAGACCGATTCTCCCGAACCGGTAGTTCTGTTGTCAAGCAGAGAGCGAACCGGTTCTCTGTTGCTTTGAAAGTGGGCCTGCCCACCTGCCCCGGTTTACACTTATCTTTATTTCAGCTTCTGAAGTCCAGCTGATCAGGGGCAGCAGATTAAACTGACGTTTAAGTTTTTTTCAGCGAACCGGTAGGAGCTCCAGTAGGAACCCACCACTGCTTCACCCATTGCATTTTGCTCTTTAAACCTCTCAATTCACTTTTCCTGAGTATCCCATGATTCCCATGATTTCCTGAGTATCCCATCCCTCCAGCCATGATTGTGGCTCTCCTAACCCCATTCACACCTCCTTCATATACTAGTTTTGCAGTTAGCCCTTCATTCGTTCACTCTATAGAACAAATCACCTCNCCCTGAGTCCCCCCAGGGAAAAGGGCGGCATATAAATAAACTTCTACAATCTACAATCTACAATATGTTTTCAAAAGGCCAAAGTCAGCTGGCTGGCTGACTTTGGCCTTTTTTTGAGGCTGTTTTTCACCCTCCGGAGACTTCCTACGGGCAAACAGGAACTTCAAGAATGGACTTCTGGTTTGCTCGTAGGATCCCCTTCCCTTTTTTACTTGTAAGCCGCCCTGAGTCTCTAGAGAGTGGGCGGCATACAAACTAATTAAATAAATAAATAAATAAATCATTTTTTGCCCTCTGGAGCCTTCAGGGAAGCCTCCTGAAAGCCCCTGAAGGCTCCGGAGGTCAAAAATCAACCCAAAGGACAAACCAGAAGTCACCATTCCCAAACTTCCGGTTTCCCCATAGGTCCGTTTTTCGCCCTCTGGAGGCTTCACGGAAGCTCTGGGGGGTGGGGGGCTGTTTTCACCCTCCCCAGGCCCCTAGAAAGCCTGGGGAGTGCGAAAAAACCATGCCAAAAGGGGGGGTGGCGCTGGTTGCGCGTGTATGTATGCAGGGGGTGGGGTATTGCACGCATAGCATTATGGATGTGGCATGCCCACGCACGAACCCCCTGTGCTCCCCCCGCTTTTGGCACGGGAGCCAAAACTTTTTTGCCATCACTGCTATAGGGTCTCCTGCTTAAGCAGGGGTTTGGACTAGATTCTAGAAGACTTCTGAGGTCCCTTCTAGCTCTATTGTTCTATGTTCTATATTGTGAAATAACATTAGCTTCTTCATAGTCTGCAATGGCCAGGAAGTTTGGAACCCAAAAAATATCTCAATTCCTCAAGAGATATTAAGAAGTCAAGTGTCTGTGTTGTTTCTATATCATTTGGTGGGATTCATAATAAAAAGCAATAGAAAGCCAACAGGGTAAAGAAGCCTGCTGATTATTAATACACTCCAAAAAATACATGGTACACAAAGTAGTGAACACAAAACTTTTTTCAAGGTACTTCAGAATACTAATATGGTATAGTACATAGTTAGTTCTCATTAATTACTTGGCCACTCACATATGGCAAAAGCTGCTTCAACCCAGTTACTAATATTTGTTTCTATTACCTCTTATGGCCTGAGAGATAGGATGCATACTGGGATGCAGCACTGAGATGGGAGATAAAAATATAGTGTATATATACATGTTGCATACCTGTTATGGGGAGACTTTGTCTACAGTGTCTTCTTTATAGAAAGTTGAGATATGGAAACCACAAATAAAGTTGAATTGAAATAGTTGCACAATGTATGATACTATTCTCAATTCAAAAGCAATATTAATTGCATAGTATTCACCATGAGAAAAAAAATTATAGGGATTATATTTTATCGTATCACATTTTACACACTTACTGGAAGCTTTCTAATTTCTCGAACTCTTCTTCAGGCAAGAGAGTTAGAGGAAGAAAGGAAAATAATTGGTTGCTCTTGAAGCCATATTTCCTTTTGTGGGAAGTTATCATCCAGCCCTCTCCCAGAAAAATGAAATATCCTAGGAAATATAATCCCTATAATTTTTTTTCTCATGGTGAATACTATGCAA